GGTTGCCAACGAGAATTCAAACATATTTGAGAGCAAAATACTCACCTCTCCCTCAGACTTGACTCCCACCACCTTCCCATCCTCCACCACGATCTCCTCGATGGGCTTGTTCAACATATACGTCCCGCCGTAGATGGCACTCAGCCTGGAATGATAACACACCGTGGTACACTAACATTTGATCTGATAATAGATAGACTTTGCCGCCATTTAGCAGCTTGTTGTATACACAAATATTACACATCTGTGACTAAGGACGAGTCCCTTACCTGGCAAACCCTTGTGGAAGCTCCCCCAGGCCGTACAGTGGGTAGAGGTATGGGCTCTTTCCATGCATGGCCAGAGACTCGCTGTAAAGCTTGATCCTTTTTATCGTATCGAGGCAAGGTTGATCCAGGTAACTAAGTGGAGAGAGACGGAGAACATATAAAACTCCATCCATCACATGCAATTAAATAATAAAATAACAAACCACAAGAAAGGAAACTGACTCGTCTGTGCGGTGGAGGGCCAGGGAGTGGCCGGTGAAGTCCATGACATCCTGACCCAGACTGAACTTCGCAAAAACGTCCCTCATTGGAGTCTTTGTGGGGTCGATGCCTTCCATGGTTTTGGGGTCTTCCGGGTCGTACTTTGCGACAAACTGAAGGAAGTTTTTAAAGCGCCTTTTCTCAAATAAGCCCATCAGACCTTTAGGAAGAGAGCAAGAGTTTGAACTTGAGTTGATTTACAACAATCAACAACAATTTACAACAGCATTAGGCGCTTTCACACCAAGTACTTTGTCCGTACTTAGTTCATGATGAACTCTTTAGTTCTGATGAACTAAAGAGCAGATCGCGTTCACACCGGAATAAGTTCCCTGGGGGAGGATTAGGCAAATGAAGCCGCTGACGTCACTTCTTCTGCTCTGGGTTTACTGGCAGGCCGCAAAATAATTCACGGCGTGTACTGCCACCCGAAGTCCCCGGCCAGAAACGCCGACACTTCCTCATCTCCACCGCTCCCATGTTTTCTTTTGTGTTCCCATAAGTTAGTCTCTCTTCGTATGTGCGCGGAGCTAATGCTAATAATGCTAATGCGAGGAAAATAAAATGGCGGCTTCACAAACATTTTTGGGAGTTTTAAGGGGCGTGGTTTGCAATCCAACCAGCCAATCAGACATGGGAACCTTTTTCTCCCATGAAAGTACCTGCTCTCTAGCAGGGACTGAAAAGGGGTGAAAAGGTTCTGATGAACTAAATTCTAGTTCTGGATTTGTTTGGTGTGAACGCACATTTTCGGAACTATACTGGGAAAAGTACTCCGGTGTGAAAGCGCCTATTGCTACATGCAACCAGCTTCTAATAATGTGAAGTGTTAGACACAAAACAAGGAGTGAACAGAAAGGCAAAGGTTTTCTTTCAGTATAGAAAGACACAAATGCAGCTTATAAATAACAAACTATTCCCCGACGGCTTCAAGATGTCCACACGTTGTTTTTAAAACCCCCGTTTAGTTGATCCTCTGATGACTTACTTGATGACAGAGCCTCAGCCTCAGTGGAGGGGACTTTATAGATTTTGCCCTTCTTGTACACATAGCTGCCCTCAATCACTTTGAAGTCCAGGTACTTGGTCACCTTTGTGATGAGCAGCATGCGCACCAGCTGGCCTGAGGGAAGAAGATGCAGACATCAGCGTTAGATTCACAAACACATAAAGTTAGGATATTGCTTTTTGCTTTTCAACACCAATGTCATAAAGACACTTTAATGATATTGCCGTAGTAACTGTGGCAGGTGGTTCCTGTTTTTAAGATATTTCATATATTAAAGGCTGCTAAAACCAAATAGAAGTGATTTTCAACCAGCGATCCGTGAGAGGTCGTCAGGTGTGCCGAGGGAAATGGTCCAATTTCATTTAATGCTCTTAATGTCTTTCACTTTTGTAAAGCACTTTGAATAGCCTTGTGTTCTAAAGGAGCTATATAAATAAACTTGCCTAATCTGGTTCAAAACAATTCTGCCATAAAGCAGCAATAACAGCCAACATTCACGTCACAAGAGAAAGCTGTGTGTGATCGTAGTAATACCGTTGGCCATAAGGAATTTAGGGATCAGGTCCACGTTCCAGTCCCGGCCTTTCCCCATTGATTCACTCGGTTTCCCCGGCAGGCTGAAGCGCTTGTAGAGCTGAAGGGAGACACAGAAACCGTCATGACTCACATGCTTCAGCTGCAGCAGATGAGGTGACCATTAAAAAAGGGAAACTCTTTACATAGCGACGCTAGGGCTGCACGAGTTGGGGAAATCATCGAATTGCGATTTTTCTGACAGATATTGCGATTCGCGACGATATTTGTTTTTAAGCGACCCAACGGAAGTTTATTGTAAAATGCGGCCATATATCCGGTTAGAGGCTGCCGTCCTAAGTATAAACATAGTCATCATCATCTGTGTGAGGGGAAACAATACATTGAAATAGTCGTAGTCAAAATGAGATCTATAAAGGAGCAACCGGTAATCGTTTGATTGAGCCTGAACTGACCGCATCTAAACATTATTTGCTTGGTTTGCCCTCAAGTGCAAACCAAAGGTTCCCAAACCTGAAGCTGCAGATTAGTGCTAGCTCTCAGAACATTTGATGCAGGGCCGAGAGGAAGCCATATGATTCGGCGAACAATTTAATTAGGTTGCTATGCAGAAGTTAAAGTGCTATTTGTAGGCAATATACAAATATATAAAAAACATGAAGTGTTTTGCTCAAAATACCAAACAGATCATTCTAGCCATGCCTCATATCCCTCTATTTCACTTTCTGTTTCTAAAGTGCTGATTCTGGGTATAAAGCTT